ATATATATATCCAGACACGTACACGCACATATATAAGCAAACACGCACACGTAGACACACACACGCACACATACCCCCTCCTTACATACATAAAACCCCAGACAGACAAGCACCCGTATCCACTTACAGGAGCTAATTTAGTGCAAAGAGAAAAGAAAAAGGCCACTGACCTTATAGTTCATCAATTCCAATTAACACAGTACAAGTTACTGACTTCCTCGTCCATTGTGATTCTGTCTCTAACGCCACACGACACAAAAGCGGGGGTCGAGGTTCGCATAGAAATTCAATAACGAAAAAGCACCACTTTAGAGCATTAACGGAAGTGTCCATTCAACTTTAGGACAACGGTGGAGACGGGATTGAAGACAAAGAAATACTAGACAACAATATAATTAATCTGGTCGACAAGGACATGCAAATATAGCCATTTCCATGGCCATTACTCTTTACTAACCCTTTAAGAACGTAGCGGACACATTAATATGTCCGATAGGTAGCAGACCAACAGCAATGTTGCGGTACACTTTGACCCGTTATATAAGACCCAGAAACAGTAATAATGAGCAAAATTTACAGTACTACTGTTGTTGCCTGTTTTTTATGTTCAGATAAAGGAGCCAGATTTGGAAAACTACATAGATCTAACAATAAAGATGTTGCTTTTTTTTTTATAGTTCTGGAAACAGCGTGTCTTAGGGCGTTGTTGAATGCCCTCAGCTGAGCGCATGTCCCCAATGAGCTATTGCCCTTTAAACTCGGTAGAAAGCAGGACTCCATATTATCCTGAGGCATACCGTGGCAGGCATAACAACTCATACCCTTACAGTACAGTCATTCAATACATCACAGCTCACTGAAAAACCACGGAAACAAAAGTGCTGAAAGCTTGGCATTTGAGGGAGGACAGAATATGTATCAGATTTATTATCTTCTATCATTGGGGGGGGGGGGGGGGATCAATCAAGTCGACTGTGTAGAGAAAATGGAAGCTACAACATTCCAACATGCGTGTGGGTGGTTGGAAGGATTTTTTCTTCTCTATCAAAACATCTAACATCATAATTCTCTCTTACTTCTTTCGTAATTTGCAGATTAGAATCTTGAGACACCTCCAGTCTCCGGCACTTACTATTACAAACGTATTGTATTGTAAGTGCTATAAAACTTATGGGAACTAGAAACGACTCGCTTAGTATCATTTGTAAACTGAACATATGGTTTGGGGCAATATTTTTTTAAAACCTAGATAAAGTCAGAAAAGGCTGAAAGGACATTATCACTATGCTCAAGATGCAAAAGCCTGGCCTGTCGATGGGGGCGAAAACTACCTTCATAATATTTTAAAAACCCATTACAAAACGTGTCCTATATCTATCTATCTATCTATCTATATATCTGTCTGTCTATTTATCTATCTATCTATCTATCTATCTATCTATCTATCTATCTATCTATC